CTCTGTAACAGGATGGGCTAGCTGTAAATGAAGTGCACCACACATTCACATGCATGCACCCATGCACACACACATTTATATCATGTTTGTGCAAGTATCACTGTTCTAGGCTTCTACCTGTGTAAGTTCCTGATGCTAAGGGCTCAGTTAATAGACTGAAGAGATTAGGCTTACCTCTTGCAACATTACATTCTCAAAACTTAGTAGATTCAGTAAAAAAAAAAAAAAAGTGATTGGTCCCCATTATTCATTATCATTTAAGACAACCATCCCATTTGAACTTAATTGTTTTATTTTTTGCATTATTGCAAATGTAAGAATAGTGGATAGCCAAGTTTTCTGAGTTGCCAAGAAGAAGAGAAAAGAAATCCTATCTTTAGTCAGTGAGGGTGGTGTTATAAGTCATTTGAATATTTAGTATGACTTCTAAGACTCATTTGCTCCTCTAAAAGAATGGATATCTGCACATTCTATTTTCTTCTGATTCATTCATGTTTGTGTCATTTGGCTCATTTCCAATATATATCTAAAAGTCCTAGGGCAATTCTTCCAAAGAGCATTACAAGAAACCAGTAGAAGATTCTAACCTCTTGCTATTATTGTTAGCTGGGCATTTTTTATTTCTTCATGCAAATTATTTTCATACTTTCAAGAATTTTAAATACAAATATACAAATGTCTAACTAGTTCTTCTTTTGACTTTTGCTTGGACCTTTTTTAGCAGCTTTGAAAGGACTTTTGTTTCATTTGTTGTGCTGAAACCCCTCTCCAGTGATGATGACTATGTAAGCCCTCTGCCTTCCTCTGGGCTGCTTTAGTGTTTGTGCTTGTAAGAATATTGACAGAATATTACTTCTACAGTAGAGCACAGCTGTCCAAGCCCTAAATAACAGCTACAGCCAACCTCATGGGGGCAGATTCCTAACAATTTCCCAAGTTTTCTGTGTTAGTGGCAGGTTTCAAGCATACACTCAGCTATTAAGACATCAGAGCGTCTTTCATTTCTTAATCATTAACAATGTTAGCTCTGATTGCCCATGGAGCTGCAAGCTGTTAAAATGATCATTTGCTCCTTACTAATTTCGAAACCAAGAGCTGCTGCCTCATTTAATAAAATGCTGGTCTCTCCTATGAACATGCATAACTCAACTCTGAGTCTACTATGAGAAAACTTAACCTAGAAGTAATTTGCAAAGTAAATGGGGTTACTTGAGGGTATAGTTCTAAATACTGAGAGCCCTTTACTTCAAAAGGATTCAATATGCACATTTGTTAGTGTTATGCTTTCAATCAGTTTTCCTATCTTTTACAATGTAGTATTTTTGACGCTTATTTAATGAAGAAAAAAGAAAAAATTCATCTTTTAATAATGAAAGGATAATGAAATTTCACCAGATAACTTAGATAACTTAGAATTATTATGTTAGATCATTAAAATATTCAAAAATTTAAAAATACTATGTTTGCCTTTCACCTGGCTAAAACTGAGCCTACACAAGGCCATATCATATGTAATACTAAATAATTACATGATAAATTGATGTAATATGTGTTAAGACCAGTTAATAGTGTGATCTTGGTCATTCATTTTAAATTAATGTATATTACGGGAAAAACTTAAATTTTTTAAATTTTTTGAGAAATGTGTACTGTCTAATGTTGGATATATTTCTACAATATGGGGCTAAAGGCCTGCTTCGAGATAAGAGGTTCCTGTGGATATGCAAGCTCCTTAGGAAATCTTCTAGGTGTAAAACCAGCTCCCATCCCCATTCTCAAGAACTGCTGAGTAGGAAGGCTAGGTTTTTGTGTGAATTTCCTAACTATTGGTGATGAAGCTTCAGAATGACCAATACATGTCATCTCTAGCCATCTCTTCTAGGAAGAATCAACAGTCACGAGTATTTGTCTAACATTTGTTGAGTGTGACCGTCTTGGTCCTCCTGCTTTGGGAAAACTCAGGCAGATGAGATAATTGATGGATATTTCCCTTAGAATCAAGAGAATGAACATTTGGTCATCCTGAATCCAAAGTTAATGACTTTGGGGATTTCCTTTAAGCACCGAGCCAATGCTGGACACCAATACACTGTGACTATGGCACTGTGAGGTCATTGCCTTAGACATGAAGAGAGTAGAAGTCAGTCGGTGCCCTAGAGAAGCTCTTGGCATAATCCTCCTCCCAGAGTTGTCCCCAGACCTTTCAGCATGGGGCACAGAGTTTCTGGCTTACCCAGTTTCCATTACAACGAAAGAAAAGCATGTGAAGGGCATCTTTGTGTGTCTTTCAATCTACTGTTTATTCTGCTATTGTTATTAATATGGTTATATGGAACACTCATTGTCCAGTTCTAACTGCATTTTCTGATTGTCCTCTTTTTTTTCTTCTAAGTATTGACTCAAAGTATTTTTAGAATGTATATGTTTATATAGCTCCATTCCTCCTGTAAGCTGTTTTCATGGATTTTATGTCTCCCACATAATATTGTATAGTGCTTCCAACTCAATAACATTATTAGTACATAATCATGTGTTAATTGTAATTCATTGTAGTTTGGTTGCATATTTTAAGATGTAATGCCCCTTTATTTTAGAGCCCTCCACTGCTTATGATACTGGTCAACTCTGTCTTCCTAAAGAGGCAAGTAATTTTGCCTTTAGGTATGGGATTTGCTATGCTATGCTATGCTATGAAGGTGGACTGTGATGTAGTATGTATCCTTAGAATATGCGCAAGGGTAGTAGCTGTCAGCATTTCCTTTTAGGTTAAATCTCACTTACCTTTATATTCATGTCTATAGGACCGAATGCTGTGTAGAATAAAAGGGAGCATGATTAAAAATAGTTAGACAAAATTAGTCATTGAATAATCCAATATTAAAACTTAATAATTTTGAATTTATAGGAAATATTGCCAGATTAAATAATTGAAATTGAACTATTTTTATCTAAGGTAATGTACTTAACCATGAGGAAACATGCTTAAACAAATATACTATTTTATTTTTGCTATGAATTTTTTTGTATGGAAAAGTTCAGCTAAAATCACATTAAACCCTAAATGAATCAATGAGGAAAAAACAACAAAACTTTCCTCATGAAATAAGCATGGAATCATTCAAGTCTCCTAGCACAAAATGGCGAGCCCACTGCTACCCGACTCAGGTACACAGTCTAGCTGCCCGGAAAAGTGTCTAAACTCCTCTAACATGATCTGTAGGGAGCAAGGCATCAGAAGGGATACTGTGGAGCAGAAGGTTTTCCCATTAAATGTAAGGCCAGGTTTGAGTTCCTTTCTATCATTAGAGGACAGCAACCAATGTTTTCTGCTTGAGGAGGCTGTGACTAGAGCTATAGTGAGGGTGATGCTTTCTGTGCCGTTTCATCCTCCGCCCTCTTGCGTTCTTTCCCAGTGACTTCATCTGAGCATTGCGTGTATGGTGTTCAGTAGGTCCAATCACTTACTATCTTTAGATAGAACTGAGGCATCTTTAAGTGTGTCCTCCTCATGTGTTAGGTACATTGCCATTCATAATGACCACATATCAAGGTGGAGAAAACATGAAGATTTTTTTTAAGTACTGTTAGAAATGGGGAGATTGAAAGACAAACTCTGTAATGTATATAAGGCTCTGCCTAATTAACTTCATGATCTTTAGTTTTTGCATTTTTTTAAATATTCAAAATGAAGGAAAGTGCATTTTGAACAAAAGAAAATATATTTGCTGCGTATTAGTCTGTGCTTGAGTGTCTGGGGAGATTTGCACGGGCTCTTGGTGGTAGTACTGGGTAATACTGATGCTGTGATGGTGATGTCAGTTACGGTGGTGCCGTTGCTAAGGATGGTATGATGGCATGGTGATAGTTGTACTGGTGGTGCAGGTGCTGGTGGCGGTGCTAATGCTTGTGGTGATGTTGCGGCTTCTGGTGGGGCTGGTGGTGGTGCATGTGCGGATGGTACGGGTGCTGGTGGAGTGGTAGTTGTGCTTACGCTTGTTGGTGGTATGAGGGAGATGTCGTGGTAGTGCCGCCGATGCCTGTGGTAATGATAATGGCCGTGTTGCTGCTGGTGGTAGTAAAGATGGTGTGATGGCATGGAGATGGTTCTGCTGGTAGTGTGGTGCTGGTGAAGCAGTGAGGTGATGTTTGTGATGTTTGGCCTCCAAGGAGTCTGTTTTTTGACACTATAGCACATTTACTCTGTTTTAGTAGCAAGGAATGTACATGAAGTTTAGAACTAGGGCCTAAAAGCATATTGTTGTCTGATACTGATTACTTTTTGTGGGTATAAACTTTTTCCTTGGGGGAAACCTAGGGCCCTGTACTTGCTAGTCAAGTACCCTTATACTGAGTTAAATCCCACCAAGCCCTCTTATCTCTAATTAGATAAACTAGATTTGTAGATGAATTCTTATTTTGTTGCAAACTGAAGCTTCTGGCATTTGTATTTGCAGCTGCTGATAAGAATCAAAGGAGATGAATGTGTTGAGATGCATAAGAGGCTTTCAGAAATAAGGGGAGCAGTGTGATAAGATTTGTAAATTGATCTTATTTTAAATATGTTAACTGAAAGCCCTTCATTTCTTTGCAAACTCTTTGATCTTCATTCAGAGTGAAGTTCCAGTGTATTTACATTTTTTACCTAAGCCAATGGCCATCACAAGCTTCTTTCACAATACATACTATGACTATAGGCATGAGCTACTTTCCTCTGTTGTCCAAAGAAATGCCTCGTAATTCTTTCATTCTTTCATTCTTATGTCAATTTCTGGATTTTCACAAATGAATTTCTTTCTGATTTCTCTTCCCCTTTTTCTTTTTACAATTGGAAAAAAAAAGGTCTGTACATGACTTCATGAGAGTATCAAGAAGAAACATTCAACAATTATCTTGAGACATTGACAGAACTAGATTAAAACCGAATGCCTTAAAAGTTTGGGGAGTACAATAAAGCAAGGAATAATTTGGTTTGTTTGTTTTTTCCCGTCTAATATTTTTAGGTACAAGCCTATGCAGAAAGTGGATGGGGTTGCAGATGGTTTCACAGGAAGTGGCCAACAGACAGGCACATCTGTTGAGCAAACTGTAATTGCCCAAAGTCAACATCATCAACAGTTTTTAGGTATGTTAAGGTGTAATGCCTAGCTGCATAGTAGTTGCTCTTAGGATTTTGAAGAGAACAATAGTAGTCTCTTCTCCTAGTAGAATGTCTTCAGATGTTAACTCCTTTATAGGGGGAGGTTTGGTGCTGAAACTACAACCTTAAATGATAGTTCTAGTTCATCTTTATTGAAGTATTAAGCTATATGAAATCTTGAATGCATCTGCCTTAAAAACTCAGGACTATGAAAGTGTTTTCAAGAGTTTATATTACAGTTGACTTTTGTGACCAAAATCGTATTGTGTTTACTTCAGAAATAATGTCCAGTCCAAACAAATTCTTATTTCCTTGTATACAAAGTTACATATCCATAATCTTAGATAAGAAAAATTATGAACATTTTAAATAATTTATTCTTTTAAATCAATTACAGTGCTTCCTATTTTAATAATTGTATAGAAAGAATACACATTTCTTGATACTTAAAGTGTTTAGAAGCAGATATTGAACATTTGAATATTTAAGCTGGAGCCAGATGAGCAAAAGTGATAGTTCAGTTGACAGCTATTCCATCGATGAGATGCATAGTCTCCAAACAGTAGGCCAATATAAAGAATTGCTGTTGGGGTGTATGTGTATGCACACGTGTGTGTGTGTGTGTGTGTGTGTGTGTTTATGTATCTGTGTGCTTGTGTGTGTCTCTCTGTGTATGCATGCCTGTCTGCGTGTGTGTACATATGTGTGTGTTTGTGTGTCTGTGTGTGTGCATGTGTGTATGTGTTTATGTGCGCTTGCCAATGGAGACAGCTGGAATAGTCTTTCAGGTTAGAAAGCTCCTGATCTTAACACTGTTATAGCGGTATTCCTAAGCCAAAGTGCCCCATTGAGCTTTAAAACAATATCATGTTTTCTTTTGTAGTGATAGTTGAATTTTAATATTTAAAAAGAAATTAAAAACAGGGCTACACAGAGAAACCCTGTCTCAAAAAAATTAGAAGTATGCATGTTTCCTAGAGCTTGTAAATGACTATTATTCTTCCTTTAATTTTGAATTTATGGTAAGGAATTCACCAAAGTACATTAATGGCTAATGAGAAAAGGAGAGAAAAAGCGAGAGAACGTATGTGATGTGTGAGTTACAGCGTCATCAAGAGAGGGCTACGTGATGTTTCTGTGCAACACAAAGTTTCATAGTCATTTAGGTGAAGAATTGTATTGGAGCAGGTAGCCCCCAGGAAGATCAGATTGGTGTAGGTGTTGTAATCAGAAAACTGGTCCACAGCAGCTAAAACCATGTTCATGTGTGAGACATGATTTGATTATAGGATAGCATCATTCATCACATCAAATTATTGTTGTTAATATTATTTTTTAACTTTTTGGCTTTTACTTTTATAACCTCCATTTTATGATTGTGTAAAAGGTATGAACATAATGAGTTTAAGGCTATGTTTATTTTTATATGGTTGGTTAGCATAATAATAAAAATAACTAAAATTGCTACTGGCAAGAGCAGGTTGCTTTTCTTGTACTGAGAACCTATCCAATGCCCATTTTAATTAGAGTAAAGCTTAGTTTATATGAAATTCACAAGTATACTCCATTCATTCGCATGTTAAATGCTGATAATGTTGCTAAGTTTTGCTGGAAAATATTAATTTGAAAGTCAGTGATCTTTGGCACTCTGATCTCTAAATTTTCTTTCCTTTTTAGTCTTCTGAAAATTTCCCTCATTAATCTGTAATTGACACCATCCACAATAGCTTTTTTCTGTTGTGTTGTCATGGTAACAGATGCATCTCGAGCACTTCCAGAGTTTGGAGAAGTTGAAATCTCTTCTCTGCCAGATGGAACTACCTTTGAAGATATCAAGTCACTGCAGAGTCTTTATCGAGAGCACTGTGAGGTAAGACCTTCAAACATAGTCTGAGCACATGCTATGTTTTGCCACATAACTTGTTAAAAACAAAATAATAAAAATTTTTCCCTAGAGAACAGAGAAGTTCTAGTTATTTAAGCATTTCTTTTAACACTAATAAAATCCTTCTTGTCTCAGTGCAAAGTGAAGGAATGCATAAAAGTGAGACTGTTTTATTCTCCATTTCTTAAACTGATCCTTGTGTCTTTTGATATAGCAGTTCTACTCTGAATCTGTCTGTCTACAAAATGCACATATGTGTGACACAGCCAATATACAAGGGAGTTTATTGCATTATTCTTTAAGAGGTTGCTTATACTATCTAATTGAGAAAGATTAAGTCTGCTATAATTTATAGGTTGGACTACTATATGCTCATAGGACTGAAAACTCTAAGTGTACTAAAAGGAAATGTGCTCCAAGGTATAATGTTAAAGCAAAAAAGAAAACAAAAGATACAGAAATTTTATATAGCATATTGATCCTTGAACTTACATAAATATCTTTCCACAAAGAAAAATAAATTGTTAATAATATCTGTGTTTGTTTGAATCCCTCATACTCTTAGGTATATGAACATATAGCCCTATTTAGTTAGGCCTACAAAATATGGCCTTATTAGCAGTGGTATGTCACTGGAGGTGGACTCTGAGTATCTAAAGACTTGTACCATTTCAAGTTTGTTCCTTCTGCTTTGTACCTGTGATTCAAGATGTGAGCCCTCCACTTTCTGCTCCTGCTTCCTTACCTTTGGACAGCTGTCTTAGACTCTAATCATCTGGAACCACAATCCCAAATAAACTCTGCTATACGTTGCCTTAGTTATGTTGTATAATCACACCAATAGAAAGATAACTAATACCGAATTTGGTTCCAGAGTGTGTGCTATTACTGTGAGGAACCTGAACGTGTTTTTTTGTTTTGTTTTGTTTTGTTTTTTAATGGAGGAATGTGGAAGGCTTTAAAACTTTGCACTAGAAAAATGGTTGAAAGCTGTAAATAGGGTCTAGTGGGGCCAATCCAGTAGGATGCTGGAAGACAACAGTGCTAAGAGGTACGTGGGCTGTAAAGGCCCAGCTAAAAGGATTTCAGAGTAGAACAAAATTAGTAACTGAACTATAGACTCTTCCCATGATATTTGGGCAAAAAATTGGCTACTTTCTGCCCATGCCCTGTGAACTTGCCTAAAATAAATAAATAAATATTTAAAAATAGTGAACTCATTTTTTTTTGGTAGAGGATATTTCATGGCAATTTAATATCAACTCAATCTCATGTTTATTAGTAGTCACTCTAAAGTAGATCTATAATAAAAAATGGTTCAGAAATAAATACAAACTGTACAGAAATTCAGAGGATACTGATGAGTTTAATGCTATTGCCAAGACTTGTACTATAAAACATACTACAATTGTTAAGGGATTAGGGCCACTAAGGATAGGTCAGATCTGCAATCCAATAAAGGGAAGGTACCCTCAGGGCAAGACCTCATCCAGCTAAGCTTCCAATTTGTAAATAAAGTATGCGGTGTTTTCTTAGGCTTCTGGAAAGCCACTTCAATTAAAAGCTGCTGCTAATGTGGATTATCCCAAGCTGACAGCCAGACTTCTCAGTGTTGTCCACGTGGTGATGGCTTCAGAGCCATGAAAGATAAGGAGATGGTTTTACAGGGCTGCTGAGTGAGGCCAGGCAACAAGTGGTAGGAGAGTCCAAGCCTAAAGGTTCTGAGAGGGGAAGATACCCTGAAAGTTCATTGAATGAAACTGTAAATGATCCCTGGGTTGTTTTGGAGACCATAAGATGTTGGAGATTTTAGAGCCATGAGATACCTGCACGTTAGGCATGGGACCAGCCCAAGAAATGAAGATGTATGTTTCAGGCCTCAGAGTTGGAGGAGCAGAGCCATCTAAACCCTTTGTTATCAGATATGGCATTAGAAAATTTGATATTTTCCCTGCTATTCTTTCCGTCTTTCTTTGGTTTAATATTTCCTTGTTATTATCCCATTTTTCCTCTTAGAATAGCAATGTATATTCTGTGCCATTATATGTTACATATATGTAATTTTTATTTTATAAGGTGTTAAAATTAAGAGATTTGCCTTGATTCTCAAAAGAGACTCTGGACTTTGAAACGGTATTGTGACTGAAAAACTATGAGGAATTTAAAAGTTGAATTAAATGGACTTTGCTTTATAATGTAGATCTGCTATTGTGAGAGCCAGGGAATGGGATATATGGTTTCAGTGAGATGGCCCCTGTATGTAGTCCTGGGCGTGGGAATACTTGGTCCATAGTTGCTGGTGTTTTTTTTTTGTTGTTGTTTTTTGTTTTTTTGTTTTTTTTTTTTTTGTGGAGGCTTGCTTAGGAGGTGTGGTCTTCTTGAAGAATATATGTCACTGGAATTGGGCCTTGAGATCTTAAACGCCTCCCCCCCCCCTTTTGATTTTGCTCTGTTTTGTGCTTGCAATTCAAATTAGCCCTTTCCTTCTTAATCCTGCTGCAGTGACTTTGCACTGCCATCTCTAACCCTTCGGAGCCATCAGCCCAAATAGACTTTCTTCTGTAAGTTGCCTTGGTCATGGTGTTTTATCACAGCAAGAGAAAAGTAACTAATGCAGTACCCTTGTAAAAACAAACAAACAAACATACAAACAAAACAAAAACTGGAGGCCATGATCAGTAGAAAGTCAGTTTTTCAGTGGACCCTCTTGAATACCACAAACGTGTGCTGCTATTTAAATATACTAAGTAAGAACTTTGTTCTTCTTCTTAGGGATCCTTTAGACCGATTTTTTAGAATTGAAGTAGCTTTATCTCAGAAGTATTTATGATTTGTCTACAATTTCAGGATTGCCCTGTGATTCCTAGAGAATTTCTTCTGACTGACAGTGAAGGATGAAATAATAAGTCTCAGCTTAAAACATGTAAAGACTGTTTGAGGGTTTGGTTACTTAAGGCTTCTCTTGACGTTTTAGACCCTACTCCTACTCTTCTTCTAATGTCAGAATTGGTGACATTGTATAGGAGGGAAGTCTCTCCATTCCGGTTATCTAATGCATCTGATAGTTACCTGGTAGAAAGGAGAATACATTGCTCAGAGTTTTCTTAAGTAGTTTTAGAATTTAAGTAGCTTTATCTCAGGATTTGTGGTCTGCCAGCAGGCAAATTAAGGAGTAACCTGTGATTTCTTAGACAAGTCCTCTTGCCTGTTGACAGCAAGAATGAAATAAGAAGTTTTCATTTAAGGCATATATAGGTTTTTCCCCATTGCTCCGGAAATAAGATTACTTGAGTGAACCCAAGTGGTTGTCAGAGATGCTAGGTTATTGACAACCAAGCACAAGTCCTCTCCTTAGCAACATCTTGCCTGACAAAGTGTTTTTAACCTGTCTTACTCATTTCCAACACTTCTGCATGGTATAAGCCAGTTAGTATTCATTACCCTTTGAACAGTATGTTTTTCTGAGTATTGGAATATTTCTAAATCATCATTGTACACATGGAAAATAATGTACACCTATCATGTTCAATGAAAATTATGTGAAAATTCTTTAAACAATTCCTCATTTATCTCTATCCAGATAAAGCCTTCTATACGCAGCTTAGCTTGTACAAGTATAATTCAGATTTTTTGAGTGACTCATATTTATTCAGAGTGTAAATTGGAGTATAATTATTTACATTGCTAAAGAGTATACAGTGAGATCATGCTAAGCAACAGATGCCTCCAATAAGATTAAAATAGTCTTTAGATTATACAATTTTCATGAAAATTTCAATTGTAATGAATAAATATGTTTTATGTGAAGAGATTGGGCACTCAAAATTAATCTGTGTAGGAAGTGACACTTCACAAAATGAACCCCACTTGTTTCTCAGTTACCAATGCCCATGCCATCTCCCATAGAACAGAATGGTGTATTTAGAAAATTAAAATTCTAATTCTTTTTTGTTACATGTCAAAACATTTTAAATAAAGCTGCCTGGCTCTCAGATTCAATCCTGTAGTCATTTGCCATAGTCAGTAGAATATGGATTATTTTAATTTTTATTTGCCTGTGTATTTGAAAATAATAGTATTTTAGTCACTTACAAAACTGCCTTAAATGAGGTAAGTATTGGTATCAATTTCAAAGAGTTATTTGAGATTAATTTGAAGATACTGGATTTGCGATGTGTTGAAATTCTTGCCTAGTTTTGCTTCATATTTTCTATAGTTTATATTTTTAAGGTAGGATTATTCTATTTGGAATTCTTGTAATATATTTATCAAGGTATTTTTAAGTATCACTAGTTTTATTCTCAGAGGTACGTAACGTATTAACTGCCCCACACTTAGAGACGGCCCTTGGAATATGCTTAAGCTGCAGCTAAAGAAGCAGATAGAAACACTTCCCTCTGGAGAGGGTTTTGATTTCGAAGGAGATGAGGGGAAACTATGCTTTCTTTGTTTCCAGAGCTTGCCTTCGGCATGTTTTAATCGTACTGCAAAGTTTTATAATGAGCTGACTTTTTTCACTGTCTGCCACTTGCAGCATTCGCTGCTGGTTCTCAGAGCATGTCCCCCGTGCATGGGCTTCGTGTCTCCGTGAGCCTCAAGGCCTCCGCTAGCTCACGCGTCAGGCCAGATCTAGACAAGTGGCGTTGAGTTAGAGTTGACTTTTTCTAAAATACTCAGATGGACTCTAGGTTGTCTCCGTTCTGTCTGCCTTCTGTGAACTTCTATAGATCCATATGGGAATCTTCTTAGTTCTCAGTTATTGATAGAATCAAACCCATTATACTGCCTACACACCAGCCTTTTGATATTCAGTATCATCACCACTTTAAACTTTCTTGACTTCATGTTTGCTGTTATCTGAAGGCTCTATTATAAAGTGATTAGAGTGACAGACTAAAAATAAATATGGTCATCAAAAGTTAGATGAGGAAGTGACAGAAGCTGACATCATCACAAAAGAAAATGAACACTTGGTAATTCTAGAAAATGGTTCTGGAAACAAAATTTAAACTAAAACTGGAGGCAAGATGGACCCACAGTTAAAAAACAGTAATCTTAAACTAATCTATAAAGTGAATATACAAAGTAAAATTGTATGTTGTGGTGGGGAATTCAAGTTATTATATAGTCAAATATGACTATATGCATATCTCTTTGTTTCCCAGAAAGGTATCAGTGTCTGGAGACCTCTTGACTCCAGTTTATAGGTTACCTCTTCCTGACTAGGACCCATGATTAGCAGCCTTTGAAAATTAGATCAACCTTACCCCCATCTGCCACACTTGAACAGCTTACCATTCTTAACCCCGTTTTTTGGATCAAAGAATACAGATAGTGGAATGTTTTATTTGATCAGGAGTAGGTAGAGTGAGGTGATGGTTAGTTTCAATTGTCAACTTATCAAGTTCTCTAGAATTACCCACGAAGAGAGTCTCACTGCGGGATTGTTTAGAACAGGTTGGCCTGTGGAAGTGTCTGTGTGGGAATGTCCTGAATACGTTAGATTTAGATTATATTTTAATAATATCTTGTTTAACAGAGTGTGAAAAAATAATGTAACCTAACTAAATGCAATATAAATAAATAAATTAGCTCATTGCTTGTGTTATGTCTTGTCATTTATAATCTAGAATATGAAGAATAAAAGCAGATTACTAATTTTCATTTCTTTTTCCAACTTTGAAATGTTACATATCAATAAAGGAGATGCAATACATAAACTGTATCAGTTATTGTATCATCTTTTCTAAATCTGAGCAGTTAGTATCACCAAAAATGGAAAGAATAAGAACAAAATATTCTTTTATTAATTATTATTTTTCTATTTTCTAAGCCTCTAAAGTATAGTTGATATACCAAGTAAGCAATAAACATCATAAAATTCAGTTGAGTACCTAATTAGTCTATATTTGTTTCCTTTCTATTACTGTGATAAAACCCCACTACCAGGAACACTTACAGAAGAAAGGGTTTATCTGGGCTTTAGTGCTTACGGTCTTTAGATGCTGTTTTGGAGTCACCAGATTTCTAAGGCTCAGTAGACACACATGGCTGGTGTGAATCACTGCAAGCAAGGCAGCGTGGGAAGGGTCAAATGTGTATGGGATTTTTCAGACCATGTAGGAATTGTCGCTGCCGTGGCAGAAACCTCTGGTGCTGAAGTGAAAAAACCAGGGGACGTAAGGAAGTATGACGGTGTGCTCATTTTGTTTTTAGGCAATATTGGACGTTGTTGTGAATCTTCAGTTTAGCCTGATAGAAAAATTATGGCAAACGTTCTGGCGTTACTCTCCCTCTACTCCAGCTGACGGCACTACCATTACTGAATCAAGGTCAGGATCATTATGCTTTTCTGATTCATTTTCATGACGAAGTAGATGTCATAGCTAATAAGTTAGAGATATATATATACCAGTTGTGAACCTTACCTGATAACATTGAGTAGATTGACCATCCTAGAAATAAACCAGACTGTTCTCCTGAGGTTTTAATGTGTGTAGCTCCCATTTTATTGATTTGGGGAACTATGGTGTGTCTGTGTCATGCTAATGGATTACTATCCTATCTGTCTTTCAGACCATAAGAAAATACTAATGTACATAGGTAGCTCTGGGGGTGTGTTTGTATATATACATACATATATGTCCAGCCATATGACACCAGTGCAATGATAGTATAGTTCTAACCTCAGTAATATTTGATAAACTATTTTTAAAGTCCATTTTCTGTTTTATCCTCATTTGCCATCTATTCATTTGCGACATTTATTCACACCAGCAATCTGAGTGAAATAGAAAGTCGACTTCCGAAAGCAAAGCTGATAACTCTGTGCAAACATGAGTCTATCCTGAAATGGATGTGTAACTGTGACCATGGGATGTACCAGGCTTTGGTGGAGATTCTCATCCCCGACGTCCTTAGACCCATTCCTAGTAAGTTAAATGGAGAAAACTACGGATGCTTTTGTTCTCATACATACCACCCAAGGAATTTTGGGGATTGATGTTGCAATCAGGAATTATCCTAGTTTCATTTAAATTTGTCAGATAAAAAACATGCAGCATATAGAACAATGCATGAAAAGAACCTACAGGGACACTATAGTGAAGGGGAAGTGGCCTGTTTTCTAGTCGTTTACTTTACTAGTATTTTTTAAAGTCAATGTACAGCTATGACACCCTCAATAAACCAATTGTAAGAACAATGTTAGTTCAGTCAACCATGCAAAATTATTCTATTTAAGGCTGAAGTTCTCTGCATATAGCCCCAAAATATTCAAATCTCTAGTTGCAGACCATTCTCTCTCATGGTTGCTTAGGATTTGAAATAAATTGACTGTGGTTTCCAGTAGAGTTGAATTCCTGTATAAATGATTTACTCTGTCACCTGTGCCATCTTCAGAACTACAAATTCAGTAATAACTACACAAGTATTATGACCCACTATGAAGTGAATGGGAACTTTATTTATTTTTTTCAGTAACCAAGTTGTAGTAAACAAAGCTTTCTCTGTGATTGTTGGTGTAAATGCCACTACACATATTGTTAGAGGATGATGGAGCTGCTTTATACCTGGATGAGCCATACTAGTGACCTTAAGTTTTAAAGAAATGGGACTGTTTCCACTCTGACATTCAAAGCAATATTTTATCTAGTGACATTGGCAGTATGTACTTTAAATGTGCCAACACATTTGTTGTTATTATGGAAAACATATAAATAGGGTTTAGTAGAAGGGAAAAGGAAGATATTAACATTTGTATGTTTATACTTGCAAATACAAAGACACAGTGGAAGGTATAAATTTTTTCATATATTCATTACCCTAAAATAGATGCTTATACACATTTACATAGTATGTCAACCAATATACATTAATATATGGAGGAGAAAGCAGAAACAAAAGAAATCCCACTGGCATTATCTTAACACTTTATAAATTGCTAATGTGTTCTACTCTGTCTACGCCAGGCTACCTGACTAAAACGATTGATAAAAATTGATGTTGTCACAGAAATTTCAGCATGTCAGTTTCTGCTGGTTTTTGTTTCAGAATTTGGTTCTTTTTTCTACTTTCCTGCTCCTTGTGCTCTGAGTGTTAATCTCTAGAGATGTTTAAAAGAAGTTGCATAGGCTAGCTCATTAGCCTATGACATCTGGTTCCCAACATACAGCTTCTCTCATGAGATACAAGGAGGTGTCAGGGAGTGCTTGTTTTTTCAAGAGAAGTCAACAGCATCAGCATTCACTAAACAATTCTGAAACCATATGCTTTTGTCTTAGCATCATACGAATTTAACAGGTCCCTGATTTAAATCATGCATCAATTTTGATTTACTTTAAGCCTTATAATTTTAAGTATATAATACACTTGACCTTTGTCTTTTTAAAAATGTGGTTAGAAGAATAGTTTATTCTGTCAGTAGTTTTTCCTCTGCATTTACCAGAAAATGGGATCATTTTATTTCTCTGAAATTACAAGATACATTAATGTACTAAGCTACAAAAGAAATTTGGGAAATTCAATTTCCATTTTACAATGAGGCTCAACAATGTAATGCTTAAAATACAATGTAGATAGCTATTGCTGAGTTATTTGCTTTTTAATACTGATCTTGAGAAGGCTGAGGAGCTCCACTTTGGAATAGATTTTTAAATATCAAACCATCCATTTATGAGTCTTTAGAAGCTGTCAGAGTCAGTCTGCACAATTTCGATTTTATATGAATCCCCACAGAGAGAACAAACTTAATTTTATTTTTAAAAATTGTATTTTTTGGCTACTAGTACTTCACTCTACCATTTTCTGTCCAGATGGGATTTCTTTTTTTAGCTAAAAAGTCTGCACATCGTACTAATTTAAAGTCAGCTTGAAATGCCTATATTCTACAATACACTCACCCGAAACATGGAAAAAGGAAATTAAGTGTGAATTATTGAATAAGATTTCAACTGGTAACACTTTAAATGGGCAACTGGGAATATAATAAAAGGTGGGTCAGAATATTACTTAGTATAAAAAAGTAAATACCTAAACTTTTTAGCATGCACAGTGTTTCCTTTTATATTATAATTTCCTTTCCATCAAGTTTCTCTAGATAAAATAGGGCATATGTGAAATGCTGTAAAAATAACGTAAGAAGTTATTGGGGTCTTTTCAAATTAAATCATTATTATACTAATTATAGACCAAAATGGAAAATATAGGTTGCCAAGTTCAACCTTGAACAAAGTTTTACCGAGTTTCAAGAGAGACTGCTAATTTTTTTTCACTCCTTTCATTTCCATTCATGCCTGTACTCCATGATTCTAGGACATAAACAGCAGAGAGATGTGTTTCTTCCTTCTCTTTTGACCAAGGTGGGATGCTTTGGAAATTTCACAAGATTTTCCCTCAAGAAATTTCCACTTCAGCCTGGTTAAGAGTCTGAAGTCTTTCCCAATCAATATTTAGACCGTTTCAGCTCTGCTATCCAGTTAAATAAGTTTTTTTTTTCAAAAACAAAAAAAACAAAAAACAAAAAAAACTCAGTTGTTTTATTATTAGGTGTTAAATTTTGTATCTGTCTGTAAATAATTTGAATATGCTAAATTTTCCTCTAAAACCTGTTTTAGCAAACAGTAGCATGTAAAGTGTCAGACCTGCCTGAGTGTAGAAAGGAAAACCCAAGACTTGGGTCCTGCTGTGTGTTCTCAGTGCAGCTGACTTAAGTAGACCTTCTTGCTGACAGTATATCCCAGATCTGGGTATCTACCAGACCCTATGGAATCTGCAGAGAGTAGTTTGTGTTACTGGTGTTTTAAACATTTGTTAAACACCTAATTCTGCTCCCCACTGTGTGTAGGCCTGGGCACAGACCATTGACTGGGGAACCCCCTGAGCAGACTCAATGAGCAGCAACTCCCTTGTAACAAAGTTAGCAATAAAGACTGAAGATGTTTGTGGCCATTTCATGACGACTGTAAAGTTCTCTCGTGAGACCTGTTCCATTCCAGACTCTAACAAGTTAGGACTGGCTGTTTCGATAATGTCATAGTAACATGGCTGTCTGTGACGGCAATCTTACCACACTGATCTTTCAGCTCCTCCATGTGAAATTGCAGTAGTCAACTGAAACTTTCATTCCGATAATTATTTTTCCTCTACTTTCAGCAAACATAAATACTCCATAGGTTCTATGGTAAAGCATCAACTAGAGAAAAACAAAGCCTTGCACTGTATTTCATGTTAACTAACAATGTAAAATGAGCTTGAAGTTTGAAACCAAAATGGGAAATCTTAGCCCTTGATCACAAAACTCTGTGTGATATTCTGTCCACGGTAGAAAACCCCATACAGTATATTCACAACTGGTATATTTTGCCATACACAGGCAGATTTGAATGTTTTCATTTTCCAACAGGTGTCGTCAGTGTCTGAGAACAAAGCAGTTTTAGAAGTCAAGCATACTACTTTTAGATGCTCTAAGAAATTAGAAATAATGTTTCTTTTTAATCAATGAAGATAATCTAGTTTCTGCTCTGTGCTATAAAAGTAGTATAAACATGTATTTTCCTTGTTCCAGCATAAAAATTAATGGTCTTAGGTATCTTTATTGTTCTGCTTTTATTTTTTTTTTATTTAGGTGCCTTGACCCAAGCCATTCGAAATTTTGCAAAAAGCCTTGAAGGTTGGCTTTCAAATGCCATGAACAATATTCCACAGAGAATGATACAAACCAAGGTATGTCATGTCCTTTGATGGGGGAGGGCACATGTGTGTGCTTGCTAGAGAAACTATCTCTTTTTTACAACTAATTTTTTCTCATAACTGATCTTTATATATAAGTAGCACAATGTTATGCAGAACTAGCATATATATATTGTACTCCAGAGCTGTTCTTCATGCCTAGAGGATCTTAGATTCAACATTATCCCTATCTGGAATGTTAGTTTAGGTTAATCTGTGAGTATATGCCCATGGCAAGATTGACTAGATACTGTACTTTCATTCTGCTTCCAAAATTTATATTATGGCTTTTGGTAAGCAACTGTATTCACCACTAGAATATCCAGCAGTATATCTTTCCCTTTGTTTTATGTGTAATGTGGCTCTGTTGAGGTTCTGTAGCCAGCAAGTCTCTCTGGAGCCACAATAGCTCCAGCACTTCCTATCTTGGTTTAAGCTTTGCACAGTGGAGGCAGAGACAGGAGGACCATGAGTTTAAGTCTCACCTGGGCTATGTAAGGAGCTCAAGGAGAGTCCAAGTTACTTAGTCAGAACCAGAAACTATTAAAAAAGCTCAGTGGTAACATGAACAAAGCCCTAGATTCTAGTCTGAAAAATCACAAAAATAAAAGGTATTATTTGATTATGGCAGAAGAACCTTTCCAGTTTATATTCCTAATAATGCCTCTGATAGCTGGCATCACTGCCCTCCTCAGTGTCATCAAAGTGAACGCCTTAGCAGATTGCTTGCAGCCTTGGTCATTTTGCTGAATTTCAGAAATAGTCTGGTGTTTGCCATTGCAGAGAATAACTTCTGCTCTTCTGCTGTTGCTGATACACAGTTGTATTTCTGTGGAGCTCTCAATTACTGAGACAGCTTACCTGACTTAGGGAAGAGCTTCCTAGTCAGTGGCAATAGCACTAAAATACCTGTGTTCAAATCTTACCTCTTAAATGAGTTTCTGTACAACCTTACTCAAGGTACTTAAGCTCTCTAACTCATAGCATGTTGAGATGACAGTTGAACAATGTAGTATATATATGAGACTCTTACCCTGGTGCCTGACATGTGATATGTACTCAGCGAATATAAACAACAGAAATGGAAAAACATTTTCTCTTCAAGGGTATGTGAGCTTGCTCAGATATGTCAGGCAGTCCTAGTACAGTTCACTTTTAAATGAGCCACCTTTGCAGTGTCAATGCATTATTCTACTCAACCAACTGATTCTTCAGTGTAAGCCTCTTATGTACCCAAAAAACTCAGTATAATAGGATACGTTCCTACAAATATGTTAAGACTTTTGACATATTTTGAAAGACTGGGGTCATATTTACTATGTATCGAACATTTCTATGAAAACTAGATATTTAGAGTTTTTTTTCATTATCTTTGATATCTTCAAACATAGGCTAACTTAATTCAGCATCTCACTGAAAAACAAATGTTCCCCAGCTAGAGGGACAGAGCTCACTGGTAGAGTCCTTGATCAGTATACGAAAGTCCTAAGTTCAGTTCATTAGAGTAGTGGGGAAAAATGAAAAGAAACAAAAGGTTTAAGGAAAAGGTGTGTGACAAAGCTGAATTTCTTTCTAAACATGCAAGCAGAGTTGAGAAAAGCAAGGATTAAGCATCCTGCAGCTACAATAGTGAGAACTCATCACCCAGTCTAGGTCTGAAATAGATAAGGGGAGGGTGCATAGCATCAGGAATCCTCCTCCTAAGTTTCCCCAGTGGTAGCCTTGGAAAAGGAAGAACATAGCCTGGGAGGAGTGAACACTCTGACTGCTGTTGTCTTCTGCTTCCTTCTCCTAACAGTGCCCCATCCCTGATTAAATCCTGCTGGAAGCTGGAGGGCAGAGGAGGCGTGCCTGTCACCCCCCCACACCCCGGCCCTGCAGCCTTTCTGGTCAGAAAGGATGGTGGGCATAAAGGAAAAGGCGATTTTTGAAGGATAAATGAAATTTTTCACTTGAAAAACTTTAAATAATAATAATAATAAAGGTTCTTCTACTTGCTAGTCTGATAAATGTATCTGGTCTGCCAACTTGTAAACTAAAAGTTATAACGGTGAGTCGGAGCGACACTGCTCTGAAAGTGGTTTTGTTCAATTAACAATAATAGTTCTGTACAGTCTGCTTTTCCAAATAAAAAGAAATGTTCTTACTTGTCTAGTTTCTAGTTGTCCTAAAAAGGGTTGAGAAGTGGTGAAAGCAAACATTTTTCTACTTTTGTAGACAATGTAATTTCTTGTTGTGGTTGAGTAATTCACTTCCAAGACTAGTTTAATGATTGCTGCACTCAAATGCCAAAAAATGTGGGAACTTGTTGTAGTGTTGACATCAAACCAAATATTTCTTTGTTTAACAATCTTAAATGTCCTGGGCAGTGGTAGTGCACGCCTTTAATCCCAGCACTCTGGAGGCAAAGGCAGTTGGATCTCTGTGAGTTCAAGGCCAGCCTGGTCTACAAGAGCTAGTTCCAGGACAGCTAGGACTATTATACAGAGAAACCCTATATAATATATAAGTCAACTATTACCAAATGAATTTAAATGTTTCTAAGGGAAGCTTGTTTCTATAGGTTGCCGCTGTAAGTGCCTTTGCCCAGACTCTGCGAAGATACACATCGCTCAATCACCTGGCCCAGGCAGCCCGTGCTGTGCTTCAGAACACTTCCCAGATCAACCAGATGCTCAGCGACCTCAATCGCGTTGACTTTGCCAATGTCCAGGTATTCTTCCTCCTTGCAAATCCTGTCTTTTAAAGAATGGTGTCAGTTATTCTAAACTAGGACCATCTGATGCTTGCAGTGGTAGAATCTGTGTTCACAATCTCCTCAAACATGGGGCTTTACCCCATCAGACTAAACTGAACCCTTTGTCTTATGGATAAAGTCAGCTAAGTCTTATGAACTGGTAGGTAACAGAATGCATCCATGTTTGCAATGGAGTTAAAGGACAATAAATAGCGGTCACTGAAGTTATGCCAAAAATTAGACTATTCTTTGTCTGTGAGAATTTGAACAACTGTTAACTGCTCTGTATTTCATTTTCCCAGCTGCAGCAACTGCCTTAGGTTTGTTTAAATAGTGATCTGTGCCCTTTCAAGCAGGTACTTCTTTTATTACAGTAACCCACCTTGAAGAACTAAGCACCTCTATTGCAATGTACATTGCAGATATCTGAGAAAATTCTTTCACTTAAAGAATTAACTGAAGTAAGTTTGGACACCTTGGATCAAATAAAATATATATAATATTTATCTTTCCTAACCCTTGTTGCTCTGTACTTTACACTTGGAAATGACTAATATAGGTTCCTTATTAAAGTCTAACAAATATTTTATTTATAATACTAAAGTAACAAAGTTAGTTGTTACTATGTAAAAATGATAACAGCCTGAAGTATGAGCAACAAAGTAAAAAGTGCATAATTCAACACAGTTAAAATTTAAAACTTTTGGAGTTAACAAGAGATTACATAAAAAAAAATAAAATAAAATAAAAGGGCACTGCAAAGAAAGTCACAAGCTCATGTCTTGTAAATGCCCTATACACAGAGGCTGTAAAGAACCACTCTGCAACCCACTAATCAAAAGCCACCTGATTTTATAATGGCAAATAGACAAGTGCCCAATAACACATGAAAGGAGTCTCAGCATTGATCTCCATGGGAACAGGAGTTAAAACCACAAGAAAATATCGTTGCCTGCACACTAAAATGGATGTGATTGAAGACGGAACATACCAGCTTTGATCTCTGGAGAGCTGGAGAAACTAACACTTCATGAGCTGACGATGGGAATGAAAAGTGCCACAGCCACTGGCACAGGCTGGCATCTCCTCCAAAAGATAAATATAAACTCAGCATGTGACTGAGCAGCCCACTGCTCGGCACACACTGAGGAGAAAGGGAAACACGGCCACACAAGTTGACCGTCCTTGTCTAAAGTCCTTGGGTTGGAATTTTTGAGTGTTTATGAGATTTTTTTTTAATATTTACTAAACTTTACCACATGACTATCCCTAAAGTCTGTACTCTAGAATGTTTCAAAATACAAAAGTTTTGAGAATTCAGCACTCTATGTATTCCAGATTTTGAGTTTTCAGGTTAGAGATCCTCACTCTATACTTTAATGTTCATAGCATTATTGTTAAAATTAGACAACCTTAAACGATATGCTTTAACAATACAGTGAACCATTGCTGGGCAGTGGAAGGGACTTCTGAAGCCTTGATTGAGCCTTGGAAACGTGTGAAGTGAAGGGAAGTTGTTACATGTTTCCATTTACATGAGATGACCTAGATAGCCTTTAGAGACAGAGTAGATTTCTACTGGGTAGAGCTGGGATAGTGCAAAGAATGAGAGATAACAAGTACATTGGATACAGGACTTCCTTTTGATAAGTAGGTGATTTGTTACAGTGTGTCTGTTAAAATCATTACAAGAAATTTAATCATCATAGCATGCTTTATTATTTAATATATTGCATAATAATATTAGAGCTTGACTCATTTATAGTAGAGTAAATTAATTGTGTTCATTGTGACTTTCAGGAACTAGGCTCATGTTTCTGATAGCTAATTTTTCAGTCTCTTTCCGTGTATCCATCCATTTACCTACCAACACTCTGTATTCAAACAAACATAGTTGTATGTACACACATGCAATCATATAACCTTTATAAGAACAAACTCTTAGATTTATAAAATGGTCTGTGTATGTCAATAGGGTTACAATAACTCATTTACCAAAATTATTAAGCAATCAAATCACCTTCAGATCGTCACTCTAATATTTACTTCAGATCTTCATTTTGAAAAGTACCCTAAGAAAAGTTGAGGTAAAACATTCTTAAAGTCAGAATAGTAAGACAACTTCAATTTCCTTGATAATTTCAACTCAGTAACAGAAATTTTTGTAAAGAATTATCTATTTCAATTAATATCTGAAAAAAGTATTGATTGTTCTTGTTTTAATATGTATTTATGTCTTCTCAACCCTGGCTTCATTATATTGTATTGATCTGAATCTGTATACAAATGAGCCCACTCTCTGGTTAGAAACATCTCTTGAGGAGATCGTGAATGTCAATAGTCAGCTGGATATCTCTTACTCATCCTTACACGGCAACTTTGACACTGTTTGTCTTCCTACGTTGTCAACTGTCAGTTTTTCTCTGTGTCCATCATGACAGTCATTAGTACCGGAAACTGTATAATTAAGCATCTCTCCTCCAAGATGTCTTTCCTCTCCTTTGAAGACCATAAATACAGTGCTGAGCCATTCAGTTCACCCTGTACTGTACTTCTCTGTACATTCTGATGAATACCCAGACTAGCACAGCTCCTTTTTACCTTTCTTGCACCTTTCTCTTCCAAGCTCTGGCAGGCTTCTCTAGTGTGCCCTGCTACCCATTCCTTCTTCATGACCTTTTCCTGTCATTTGGAACTTGTTCCTGCCTCTTCTAAGATGAATCTTAGTGAGACTGGCAAATAAAAGGATAAAACTCTTGCAATAAAGAAACTTTGGGCTGAAACAAGTTCCAAGTATTATTATTGTTAGAGTATGCCAAGTCCTTGGATGTTCCTGTCAGTATATCCATAAATTTCTTTTCACTATTTCATCCTTGTGTAAACAAATATTTTTGAATTTCAAGACATGTTTTTCTATTGCAGTTTAATGGGCTTTCTTTCTCATTTAACTGATAATCTTACAATGGTACTGTTTCTAAATGCTCTGTGTAAATGGATGTGTTTTCTCTACATTATGAGTTAAGTTAAGATTTGAATGGTCTTATCTGATAACCTGATCATTGATTACTTGAGTTCCTTCCTTCCTTCCTTCCTTCCTTCCTTCCTTCCTTCCTCCTTCCCTCTCTCCCTCTTTCCCTTCCTCCCTCCTCCTCCCTTCATTCCTTCTTTTCCTTCCTCCCTTTCTTTCTTCTTTTTTGTTTGTTTTTTTCTTTGTTTTTCACGACAGGGTTTCTCTGCCTTGCCCTGGCTGTCCTGGAACTCTCTCTGTAGACCAGGCTGTCTTTGACCTCAGAGATCCATCGTCTCTGCCTCCCAAATACTGGGATTAAAAGTGTGTGCCACCACACCCAGGTGCTTGGGTTTCTTTATTGAAGATACAGTCTGATTTTGAACTTCCTTACTATGTACCATGTTGAATATTATGTTTGTTTTCTGCTTTCTTCTTGACAATGGGACTGTTTATGGAGTAAGCCATTGTTAGGTGAACTCTGTAGGCTGACGTATATCATAAACGGGTGTGAAGAGTGGTTTTTGGAGCTGTGCTCTAATTTCTCAAATTGGGCTTCTGGTTATCGTCTTATCTTGCCAAAAATAATTTTCGCATAAATAGTGAGTTCGAATTTTTGGTAAGAAGTGAAATTCTTCTGTGTGTATCGGTAAGATCCTCTTTCTAGAACCAGCGCTAACAAGAACAAACTCCTTCACAGGGAGCACAGACTCATGTGCACAACAAAGGTTCTAGACCTCTGTTGGTCCACACAGTCTGATATTTAACATTGCTGTACTGTATTCAGATAAAAGGTCAAAAGTAAAAAATAAATAAAAGCTTAAATGGACGGGGGGCAGGGGCATCAAAACCCTCTCCTGGTAACTATTAATGCTTAACTTATCTTTGTTCTCAGGGACTCTTAAACTGATACAAAATTCCTGGGAACCATTTGATACTATTAAAAGATTTTAACCATTATTATGTAAATCTATTATACAGAAATAAGTGAAAATATGAGCAAAATGTAGTTAACAGCATAGCTAATTCAAACTTTATACTAGTAAAAATTTAGAACAAATTTCTAGCTGTATGAAAATGGTTATACAGATGATAACATATTTATGTAATAAAACAAGCTTATTAGTGAGCGATAAATACAGCTCCATATTCATCTATTTGGAAGGGTAGACTAATTATCATTGTTAAGCAGAATATTGAGTAGAATATGTAATATTTATTATATTTCTTATTTTATATTTATATTAGAACTATTTATGTATAAGCACAAATGACAAGACAAATCAGCATGAATAAATAATGAAAATGTAAACATGCAAATGTGTATGTACAGATAATATGGCATATATGTGTGAAAAACTTGAAGGACATGTGTATCCATGTATTGTAGCTATCTTGGACTTCTGCCCTCATATTCTTTTCTTGTCTTTTTTGTTTAAGTTGTAGTTTAGTCTATTTAAACTATTTATAAGTACAGTTTAAGAGATAGCATATAGAAACGAAGATAGAAGGTGATGGGCTATCATCAGCTGAGATGAGGAAGAAGCTAGGTTTCCCTAGAAGATTAGAGAGAGTGATGTGGGTAAGGTTTGCATTTGAAGTGGCTCTAAGATTAAGTGAGCCTTGAATGGGTAAAATGTAGGGTCAGCAGAGGTGCTAGACCTGGAAGGGTGGGATTAGAGGTGTATTGATTTGAAGTTTTCAATTTGAATCAGCTTGACCTTTGAAATAGCATAGAATTAAGACTGCAGACAGTGTTTTCATGAAAATATCAATGTATTCTATGTCTTTGTATTGGAACTTTACAGATACTCCTTCAAAGAAACTCATTTTAAAAGTTATCATAATGAATCATACATAAAAACTCATAATAATTCTCATTTGTTGAATTTTGTGCATAGGAAACTGAAGCCCTCACTGATCTAAGTTAACTGTTTGAACTTAGTTTGACAAATTAGGGCCTGAGCAAAAAATGTATGTCTTTTGATTGTCAAGCAGTGTTGTCAAATAATTACATTTTGATTCTGAGAGAAGAGATCTTTTTCTTTTAATCTTAAAATACAGCACAGCACTAGAAACATCATAAAACTTACACCATCACTGAAAAGTAACTTTAAAGTTCCTATTTTCATTGTTGTTACAAAACATGAAACTTCCCAACCAGAACCAGAAGGGAAATTACAGTAATCAGGTTTCTTGGCAGGTAGCACGTCTACATTTTCTCAAAAGAGGTTTTGTTGTTGTTGTTGTTTTCAGTTCTGTGAATTAATTTGCATTAGTTGGTTTGCCTTGATAGCCCTGGAGATTTCTGCTCCCGATCTATAAACTCGCACAGCATATGCTTCTTCCTAGTACCAGTCAGTGTTTGTTTTTGTTTTAATCTTTAGGGACCACTTTTGGCCAATTGAATCCATTTATTCCTCTGACTTACTCTAAGTCTTCTAAAACGGCTTTATGTGGTGAGGTGGGGAAAACTTTAAAGCAGTGTGAAAACAGGCCAGTGCCTGCTGCTGGTTCCGACTTCTGTCTGCCTTAAGTAACCATGCTCTGTCCCTCACAAGGCCTAGCCCAAGTAGAAAACCAAGTCACAGTTAAATACTGCTTCACGTAATAATCCAGGGGAAAGGCTAAGCCCTGAAGATGACAAAGGCATTGTGTGCCTAACCGTTGTTTGTGTTCATGATTGGTTCATGTCCCCACTGTGCCTTTCCGTGTGACACCCTGCCTGTGCTCTGTGCTGACACTCAGTGAGAGGCTGCTGAGTTGAACTTTCCTTTCTGTCTGTGTCCTGTCCCAGGAGCAGGCTTCCTGGGTGTGCCAGTGTGATGACAACATGGTTCAGAGACTGGAAACAGACTTCAAGATGACGCTTCAGCAGCAGAGCACACTGGAGCAGTGGGCAGCATGGCTGGACAATGTGATGATGCAGGCGCTGAAGCCCTATGAAGGAAGACCCAGCTTCCCAAAAGCCGCCAGACAGTTTCTGCTCAAATGGTCTTTCTACAGGTAGCATCCCAAGCTCACTGCATTTTCTTCCTGTCCTGCAAATGTGTGTGTGCACGCTATTCACAGAAAAAAAGAAATGAGCTTAGTCTTGGTGGGATATCCAACTCTATGACTTGCTGCATAGAGACTAAGCAGGAAAATTATAAAAATGAACTTTTTGCTGAGAGAGGAGACCCTCTTGCGCTCAAAGCCAAGAAATTTTCAGATAGTAATCTTTGAGAGTCCATCTAGAATAGCAGTTCCCAACCTGTGGGCCACCACCCCTTTGGGGGTTAAAAGACACTTTCACAGGGGTCACCTAATACCATCAGAAAACACAGGTATTTACAATACCATAGCAAAATTGCAGTTATGAAATAGCAATGAAAATAATTTTATGGTTGGGGGGTCATTAGGAAGGGTGAGAACCACTGCTCTAGGTGATGATTTCGGCAACAGTCAGAAAAGGTATCTTGTCCTCCCTCTGCTTCTACCTTGTTGAGGTGGCTTCTTGTGGGGTTATGACTACTATTCTTTTGTTCCCTTTCCAGTGGCCCTCAAACTGTAGACCATGGCCTCACATCCACTTAGGTACATTATAAATGCATCGTTAGGCCACTTCCCAAGCCTACTTGAGTCAGAATCCGTAGAGGAGAGCCCAGCAATCTGAGCTTTGAAATTCTCTGTGTAACTCCAGTTCACACTCAAAACTATATAGTTAATTTCTTAATTCTGTTAACTTTCAGAGAACAGAATATATCAGAGCTTTATATCAGAGAGCAGAATTTATATGTTCTTTTTAACCCTGGGTTACTTCTGAGATCCACTAACTCATTCTCTTGGTAGTTAGGAGGTAATTAGTAGTTAGGAGGATAATTGGGATCAACCACTTTCTGATGTTTATATTGCATGGCTAGTATCTAGTAGGTAGTAACATGTCTTTTAGACTGAAATGCTTAATATGGAAGGAAATACATGTTTTGGTAGACATAGAAGCACCCTTAAATGGAAAGGGCTTACTAATTATATGTTACATAATGGCAAATTTGGAATGAGCTGTTGACACCAAATCTACAACAGGGTTTGAAAAGAGCACTTATAAGCTGTGTTGATGAGGACTTGTGCAGTATTTGAATAGGATGGAATGTTCAGATAGATTTCCGGTATGGAATTTATGTCAGGAACAAGTTATACCTCTCAAGACAAACATGTTTTAGGCCCAAATCAGTGGGATCACCCTGAATAAAGAAGCAAACACTTGTATTTTAACTACAGGATCAAATGCCAAAGTCAAAAATTCAAATTATCTATCTTGTCTCATGAAATTGGAGTCCATCTGTCATGTAATTCAAGGCTCAAATTTGGAAATATATTTTCTTTTTTGGTGTTGGTTTTGATTTTTGGCATTTTTGAGACAGGGTCTTTAGCCCTGGATTTCCTGGAACTCACTATAGAGAAGACCAAATTGGCCTTGAACTCACAGTGGTCAGCCTGGCTCTGCCTCCTGAATGCTGGGATTAAAGGCAAAAATAGGTTTCCTTGATTGCTTGAGAGTCAATATTTTATTCACCTGAATTTTCACAGAAAATTATGGAAGTGACTTGTGTGCCCATGATCAGTGGCTCAAACATCACTTACACTATCTGACTCCTTCCAAGCCTCTCATGACCAGAGGCAGAGTGCCCAACCTTATATACCAGTGAAAGGAAGATGCTCAGCCTCCTCCTGTTGTGTTGAGTGGTAGCATCAGGCTTGCTCTCACTTCTCCCTGTGAGTTTTTTTTTCCCCTGCATTTAGTTGAAATCATTTTAGAAATAAACCCCTAGAGCCTTTGTCACCACAGAGATCTATTGCAGGAATCCTGAAAAGAAAGAAAATTGCTCGCTTGTATTTCATGTTCTCTGCAGATACACAAACCCAGTAGATCATCACTTGCCTGCCCTCTGTCCTCCCTGAGTTGGGGATAATTGGCTTGTTATTATTAGACACGATTATGGTTATTATTTTCATTTCAAAAAGATTTGAAGGCTTACAGTTCAGGGCCACAGAGGAAAGAGACATTTAAGCAGATGCATACCTCCTGCTGGTAGGCAGAGCAATATCTGAACTGCCTTTTGCTGAGGCACAAGAGCATGGTGAGTAATAAAAACTGATGCATAAATCATCAGAGAAGCAGAAGAAGAGCGCTTATGTTTTTAGCATTGTGAATGTAAATTGTAAATTTGCAAAGAATATTATAAATTTGACAGCCATATATACAGTCCCTTCGTGTTTAAAAATCAGATATTTAATCTAGTAATTTCTAAAATTGTGTTTGCATTTACCTGTCCAGACGCATAGAAACAAACTGTCAGTCTCACAGCAGTTGATTCGTTGCAGCAGACTGACCCTGCTCCATCTAGAGCTGTCTGCTACCTTAAACTAGCTTTGAATGGCTGATGTGAATAAGGAAAAAGAGTGTTCCTGCTAACTACAGTGAAGGTCGTTCGATCTTTTCTGGTATATGTGCTGGGGAAGAGGTTGATGCAATTAAAACTAACTTTGCTTGTTCTCTGAATTTCTTGAATTAGAATTACACCATTCAGTGAGCTGGCATTTAGATAAATACAGCCCCATTCCTTCAACACTTGTAGAGACAGTAGAGTTGCTTTCTCCACCCCCTACAGGCTACAATACAATCTCATAGTGCAATAGGTAACAGGTGTTCTCTTCAGCTTGAACATGTTTCCTTTTGAATAAGATTAGTTTTATATTTGTATCTTTGCTAACCACTTGTCATTCCCGGACTGTATTTTAGATAGCTGCTGTCTTTGGTCAGCAAGGTGGATGGAGTTAAAAGTGACTACTCCACCCTTGGATCACTTTTAAGGATTACTGACTTTGAGTTCAGTGGTATTTGATGTTTAACCATTATGTTACTTTTTTTGGGTTTTTGTTGTGCGTGTATATGTAGGAAATTCTCTGCCTTAAAATTTCTTTTAAAAAATTACTGCCTTAATTACATTCTTGTAAAGTGACTGGTGATGTATCATTGAATTTTAGAAATTTGACACATAAATCAAGCCATTCTTCCATTTGTAATAATTCATTTATACATTAGAGTTTTAAACATTTAAGGAGTGTTTAAGGTTTTTCATTGACAGAAAGAAACCATTATCTGAAACTGTTTATTGTAATGAATATACTTTTAGTTCTAGTATCTATAGTACTGTAGTGATACTACAGTTTTAAGATCTGTGCCCAGTTTTAAGATCCCTCATATGTTAGATGCCCCAACCTTCATGGTTTGTTCCTGGAAACCTTACTGGGGACAATTGGAGATTAAGAAAGAGAGACACAAGTAATTGAAACATGTGATTGGGTAGACTGTACCCTCAGGTGCAGACACACCAGTAGCCCAGATAATCAGCATATTATATACATATATGTGTGTGTGTGTATGTATATACTTATATACATACATATATAATATGCAATATATATATTGAGGAAGGGGTCTCTGTGGGGGAGCAGTCTCAGGGGACATGAACATGGAGTTATCTAGGATGAAGAAACTGTGCTTAGTACTCTTTGCACATACTGTTTTTAACTTAAAGCCAACATCTGTACTAAGACTACAGAAAAGCCTTGTTGTTTCCCTGACCCTGACTCAGTAAGGTCTTACTGTTTCCCCTGAGTCAGAGACAAGGCCTTGCAATTCACTCCCCTGAGCCTGAGGTATTCGCATCCTTGGAATGGCCATTCCCATGTTCTGAATGCTCATTTACACTGAAACACACTTACCCACATTATCCACTGAGATGCTATATTCCAGCATCTCTGTGGATGCCTGAAACCACCAACATTACTCAACCTATGGTTTAATGCCTTGTACACCTTGATGTCAGTGATTGCCCTAAGCTGTGTCTGTAACTTTTGCAGTTTGATGTATGACAGAAAACCTAGAATGGATTTCTTTCCGCTCGTCTCAATTGGACAGCTAGAAGATACACTCTTACCATTAGCTTCATCTCAGAATTCAGTATTTTTTCTCCCTAAAGACAACAACCTCCACCTTCTTACTGAAGGAGCCATTTTGCAGGAATTTGGTCTATTGGTTCCCCAGCACCACTGTAGTCCATTCTGGGAACTTTATAGCGCTTGGACTTGAAAAAAGATGAGCTATATCCCAGAGGTCAGGAACCAGAGTAGATTTCATCACTCTATGCAAAACGACATGTGATCTGAAACTTGTTGATTGTTTGTGGAATTTTTATTTCACATTATTAGACTGCAGTGGCTGAAACCAAGAAAATCAAAACTGTAGATCTAGTCAGCTGACTCTCAGACTACCTTTTAAGCTTTAAAAATGGTTATGTCCTTGTAACTCCACTTGTAGGAGACTGAGGCAGGAAGATTGCTAGAGACTTCAGTCTAAGCTACATAATGAGATGTGGACCAGCCTGGACTAGAGAATGAGACCCTGGTTTGGGTTTTTGTGTGTTTGTTTGTTTTAAGGCATACAATAAATAGGCCTACTAGACATCCAAGGTTTACCTGTTCTTCTGTTTGTACAATGATTTAAAAAAGTAAAAAAGAAAAAAAAAGTCTTCCATATAATGATCTTCATTTTTTTTTTAAGACAGGGTTTCTCTGTGTAACAGCCCTAGCTGTCCTGGAACTAGCTCTTGTTGACCAGGCTGGCCTTGAACTCACAGACATCTGCCTGTCTTTGCCTCTGAATGCTAGGATTAAAGGCATGCACCACCACTGCCCTGCTGATTTTATTCTTCTATATACAAATTGAAATAGCATTTTCTGTTATGTTTTAAAATAATAATGTTATTTGTTGCATTCTATTCATTTTTACATTGTTTTTATATTCTTTAGTAATTTCCCCTTGAAATAACTGGAAGTTAGCTAAAAAAAAAAATACTGTTTTCATTTTTCCCTAGAGAAAACAACCCCAGGGAAATTGTGTATTTTAGGTTAGGATTCAAGTAGCATGGAGCTAGCATGAGAACCCAAGCTTCTGTCTGTCCGCAGCTGTCACATCATGCTGTGTCACTGGCCACCATGGATGTGTGGAATCTGATTTATTTAAATCTCTGTTTTTAAAAGGTCGAAAAATGAAACAAAAAAAACAAAAGCAAAGCCTACTTACTATTCTTTCATTGCCTAGAATTTTATAATTGGTCATTACAAAAATAAGGCTTTCATTTGTGACATTGTGCCTCTTCCTCCTGAGAATATAATGACAGTTTTAGTATTTATAGGCCAAAAAGCTTTAGCAAAAGGTATCTGAATAAAAACTGGTATAAAATACACACACATAAATACATACATACATTATTCTCACTGTGAGTCACAGATTCACATCTATAGTTGAAGTATAAAAGAAGCTTACTAGTTGATACAACTTTAGTAAAGTCACAGTTTTATTTGAACTTATTTTTATTTTTAATATAATAAAGTTTATTGTTATTATTCTTTCAATATTTGTATAATATGTGCATTTAATATTCATGTTTTTTAAATTTACTCATTTCTTAATTCATCTATGATTCCCTTCTGTAGTGGGGAAAAATAACCTTAATTTAAATGAAATTCACCTAGAAACTGGAATCAGTAAGTTTACCCTCCAACAGAACATGTTGGAATCCCACGTAGTCACCTCCATTTAGACTGACTGCTTCAGGGAGCTTTGCTTTGTATCTTTGTATGAAATATGGTACCAAGTAAACTCACTGTCGTTTGGAGATGACAGAATATTCATCATCACCAATAAGACGTTCACTTTGAGTTGATTTTCCTTATAGTGGTGACAAGTCTCCAGCCTCTCTATAGTTGTTTCTGTTCAGCTGTGGTCACTTGTGAGTACAAGGGGAAGCGCAGACATTCCTATAATAATGAAAGGTCTTTTCTAATGAAGACCCATTTGACTCTAATGAAGATCAGGGTCAAGCCTTACTGAGAATGACCTCTTTCCCACCACTGAAATGAGTTGGGCCAACTTCTTTCAACAACGAAATTGTTCTATTGCACGTTTTATACTCTAAGGCCTGTGCTTTCATGTAGTCTCCTGACGTAACAGCTTTTAAGAGTACTAACTTAACTATAATCTTTGTCTCTAACTCTGGCTTCATCTCTGCCCTTTCTCTTGAACAGCTCAATGGTAATTCGGGACTTAACCTTACGCAGTGCTGCTAGCTTTGGCTCCTTTCACCTGATCCGGCTACTCTATGATGAGTACATGTTCTACTTGGTAGAGCATCGTGTGGCTCAAGCGACAGGAGAGACACCAATAGCTGTGATGGGCGAGGTAAGAGAGGCTTCAAGGACTATGTGTTACTGATTGGTTTTTAATTACACTTCAAATTATGAATGTAAATGATTGACTAGAGCAGCGTCAGTCCCACAATGGACTGATTGTGCGTTTTTAATCACAGAATTCTAAAGCTGAATATTCTATCATGTCAGTGGAATGCTATACTGCATTATATGTACCAATATTAAAATAAATAAAAAAAATAAACTTTGAAGAACATAAGACTTTTAAAAGTTTTAAAAGAAAAACTTTTGAGTATGAGACAAGAAAGACCAATACCCATGATAAAGCTAAGGACCAAGAAAAACAAAACAAGAGTTAAATGTTTATTTTGTGGGCTCTCTCTCCCCTAGTCTTCAGAAGGAAATGAATGGTTTTGCTCCAGAAGGGCTCTGATGATGGCAGTGCTGACCGACACTTTTTACTGTGCTGCAGGCATGGCTTTACACCCTTTGTGCATATAATAAAACACTTCACAGTTTATTACAAACTGTTGCGATTAAGTTCTCCTTTTTCCTACTTTATTAGTGTACATCTGAGGCTAAGGCAGAGAACATGGGTACAGGGATATTCAGTGGTAGCTAGTAAACCCTGGAGACATTTTGCTAAAAAATCATTTGATTTTCAAGTCCATGCCTTTGTCACTAACAATATGGGGTGAATTTTATTTTTAGAATGTCTAAGTAATAATAAAAATGACTCATCTATACCTAGTGTCAGAAAGTGGCAATTCTTACAATAATACAAATGAGAATTGGTTAATATGATGAACAATAGGTACAAGTGCTGAAATAATTCAGCTCAGGCTCAGTTTATTATATAGAATTGGGGTACTTTATACATTAGTAAATATGCTAGGTCAGACATAAAAATCATAAAATACTCAAAGCAGTACAGATATTTATTTTTGATCTATGAATATATGGTTAAGTTTTGAGGGTTTTTTGTTTATTTGTTTGTTTGTTTTTTCAAGATAAGAAAATAAGGGGAAATCACTTAGTGGGTAATGTTTATTGTGCACGACTGAGGACCCGAATCTAGATCCCCAGCACGCATGTGAAAACCAGCAAGGTTGTGTGCATCTGTTATCACAGTGCTGGGACACAGGAAAACAGAGTCTTCAGAGGCTCACTAGCAAGCTTGTCTAGCTAACCTGTGAGCTCTAGGTGGAAAAATTAAGGTAGACAGTGTTAGTGGAAAACATCAGTTGTTGAGCTGGCCTACATAAACTCACATGAACACACAGACACACACAGAGGAGGTGGGGGGAGTTGTTGAAGATAAATGCTGCTAAATTGCTGTCTAATGGGCATAAAAATAAAAAGAAATCAAATCATTAAAAATACTTTAAGCACCTTTGTAAGTTCCACTGTGAACCACAAGTATTCTAATATAAGTAAAATGTACATCAAACAGTCCTTCCTAACTTTTTTGTATGTGTATGAGTGCTTTGCTTGTAAGGATGTCTCTGTACCACATGTGTGGCTGGTACCCAAGAAAGCCAAAAGAGAGGGTCAGATCTCCTGAGACTGAAGTTATAGATAACTATCAACTGTTGTGTGGGTGCTGGAATAGAACCCAGGTCCTCTGGAAGAGCAGCCTGTGCCCTTAATGCCTAGCCATCTCTCCAGCCCTGCATGTCAGTTATTTCTACATCATTTGTAATATTAATCTTTTCCATTTTTTAGAGAATCCTTTGCAGTTTTCTGATATTTACATTGCTGTATGATTGTGTTTAAATGTGTTTAAAAGATATGTGTGAGATGGATTAAGAACTGCTGTTGTTTTATAATAGGCCAAACAATCTGGATTTTTCTTCAATTTGACCTTTGCTTTAGCTATCTAGATATCTTCTTACAAGATGCCCAGTTAGAATGAAACATTTCTTGCCTTAGGGCTCTAGACTCTGAAATGGATCTGCTCGCTAGTGTATTGAATACTTTGCCATACCTCTCTTGTGTTCTAGATCTTTACCAGAATCAACGGGATAATACAAATAGTGATTCTTATTGTCACCATGTGGTTTATTCTGCATGGTCTTTGCTTCCCTTCATGTTTAAAGAACAAAGGCATGAACCCATCACACTGTGAAGGTTTAGCTACCTCTTCACATGAGCCTGCAGCCAATAGTAGCTCTACAAAATTCAAGGGAGATACACTATCAACACTGCCACATAATCATTGTAATAAAAATACTTAACTACATGAATAGGCTGTAAATGAATAAGATAAATTATAGCATAATGCAAAGATATATTAATAAAATATAGGTATAACAATAAGACATAAATTAGCCACTGTAAAATCAGAGCTCTAAATGTACATCCTAATCTGTTTGCTTTCTGTACCCTTACCCAGTCTGTAAGAAAATCCTTTTTTCTTGATTATTACACCATTCAGTTCACAAAGAAAACCAAGGCTAATTTTCTCTATTCAACCTCCCATAGCACTATACTTTAGAAACCTTTTAGCTAACACGCACTTTTGGCCTTAATCCTACTATCTTATCTAACATGATTTTCATCTGTGGAAAGAAGATGGGTAGTCAAGAAGCCTCACACACACACACACCGCCACCTCATGGACTCCTCAGATGGTATCCTATCTCTCTGTCCTTTAATTACTCTGTATAAACTGCTGCCGGACATGGCAGAGTATGCATGCCTGTAATCCCAGAGCTTGTGAAGTAGAGGCAGGAAGAACAGAGGATCAAGTCAAGCCTGATCTGTATAACAAGTTCAAGGTTAGCCTCTGCTGCATAAGACACTGTCTTCAGCATCATCTTTGTATGTCTGTCTTGACCCATCTCCAGCCACTCACTAAGCCTTCCCAATCTCAAATCACTCATAGAGTAGTAAGTATTGTCTTATGCAGACACAAAGCTAATTGTGATATCTCCTACCTAAAGCTCCTCAGTAGATCAATCTTCTGTTAGTAAGAAAGAAAATTCTCCCCTTGTACAAGAGGCATCTAAACCCTGGGCCTGGCTCCTCATTGGCCTGAGCCTCTCACTTCCCTTGCCCCTCTTATAACCATGCTACCATCATTAGACTACGTAAGTGATTCTTTCTTCCTGGAGCCCTCACACCACCTTTCATTGCCCATTCTAATTCCCACTGCATGGTTTAAATATCAGTTCCTCAGTGAGACCCAATCCTCACAGACTGTTACTCAAGCCTATTCTCTTTAGTTTGAACTTTCACTTTCCATTCTAAAGCTTACACAATAGTGATTGCACGGTTCTCCATAGGATTTGTATAATTGAAAATTTGATGCCTGAAGATAACACAAAACTTTCAAGTCAAAAGAACTGAATTTGGGATAAGCCATGTTTCCCTGTGTTGAAAACTAAACTACTTCTTTCTGAAATTAGTTGACTCATTTACTTAACAACTCTATTATGATTTGACTATGACAGTAAACAAAAGGAATGTCTTCAGGGAGATTATATTGCAATAGGAGATACACATTTATTAAGTGTCTGTAACTGTATAGCTATACATTCTTGGTACTATCAAGAAAGGATTTAGGGAATTAGGGGGTACTTGACGCAAGGGGCAATTACTCTTTCCTGGAAAGGCCGTGAAAGCTTTTCCCAAGGAAATAATATTGAGATGAGAAATAAAATACTCTAAGAAGTTAGAGAATTTGGAAACCTGGTTGGTGTCAGTCATCAGAGACCCAGTGAAAAGTGAGATGGAACAGCTGAGATGGGGACTGTGATGATCTGAAAGGAAATGGCCCCACACTATTAGGAAGTGTGGACTTGTTGAAGTAGGTGTGGCCTTCTTTGAGGAAGTGTGTCATTGGGTATAGGCTTTGAGATTTCCTATGCTCAAACTATGCTCAGTGTGGCACCCAATTCACTTCCTGTTGCCTGTGGATCAAGATGTAGAACTCTCAGCTCTTTCTCCAGCACCATATCCGCCTGCGTGCTACTATGTCCCACTGTAATAATAATGGACTAAACCTTTGAAACTCTAAGCTAACCTCAATTAAATGTTTTTCTTTATAAGAATTGCCATGGTCATGGTGCCTCTTTACAACAATAGAAGACCTAACTGAGACAAGGATCATGGCCAGTGAGAAATTTTCATGGGACATCTGAGGTTCGGGTAGCAGAAATATCAGATAAACACTGTCACATTCTACAGTGGAGAGGACTGGGGCCATGCAGGAGCCAAAGATTTCAAGTGACTCCATCCCCCACAAAGGCTGTGTTCGTTGTGCGGGTGCTGAAATCAGACCCAGAGCTGTTGAGTAATCTCCCAAAGCCTCATGGCTAGGAAGGTACGGATGTGCTTCTGATCCCAACTGCTGACATTGCGCTCATTACCTGCTCCAGGCGGAGTGAGTTGGAAGGCAGGTGCTTCAGAAGTCACTAGGGCAACACTGAAGCACATTTGCTTTGTCTCTATTACTGTTTTCCTTGGGGCACAGGGGAGGATTCAGACCGCTAACTTGGTCTGAATAAAAGGAAAGCCTTTTAAAACAACAAGAAAAAAACAAATCAGTGTATCTTTTTACTCATAGTAGCTCTGTAAATAAATCTTAAAACTAATGTTGCTTTATTTGAGCAGGTAAGAGGTCAACATGTTTTTCAACAAACACAATAAATAGACAAAATCTATTTTTGAGCACATTAATATTCATCCTCAGTGTGGTACTTTCGGTTGCTTCAGTAAGGACCACCATGAATTAGTCCGCCAGACAGAAGCTGCTACGCAGCCCCTCTGAATCTCTTCCAAAATGGCGGTCTGCTACTAGAATAATGAGCCCTGCTATGTCATTTGTAACATTTGCAATTGTAGACTTCCTTTTTTTCCTTTTTGTTTTGTTGTTTAGTTGATTTATTTTTGTTCTCTACTACATGATAGAAAACAGAATTTATTTACAGTCAGAATTCCTGAAATTTTCACTTTTATGTAGGTATTTTAAGTGTGCCCATTGGTTTTCTGACAGTGATAAGATTTTAGGAGTGGACATAAGACAGA